AGAGGTAATTACTGTTCCCTCTCTCTCTCCTTTACTGGATCCTCCTCTAGATCATTCTTTCTAATTATGGGTATCCCTCAGGGTTCTGTCCTTCACCTTTTCTTCTCCTTCTATACTTCACCTGGTGATCTCATCAGCTCCCAAGGACTTAATTACCATCTCTATGCTGATTCTCAAATCTACCTTTCCTGCCTCAATCTCTCTGCTGACCTCCAATCTTACATCTCTAATAGCCTTTTAGACATCTCATAATCAACGTCCAGCAGACATCTTAAATTTAATATGTCCAAAACAGAGCTCACTATCTTTCCCTCCAAATCCCCCGCTTCTTACCTTCCTTATTACTATAGAAAGCAACACCATCCTCTCAGGTCCTCAGACTCATAACCTAGGAGTCATCCTGGATTCCTCACTATCTCTTAGCCCCCCATATCCAAGCTGTTGCCAAGGCCTGTCAACTCACCTTTGCAACATCTCTTGAATATGGCCCCTTCTCTCCTTTGACACAAGTCCTGGTACAAGTTCTCATCACCTCACATTTTATGATCACTGCAATGGCCTGGCCTCAAGTCTCTCCCTACTCTAATCCATTCTCCATTCAGCCAATAGATATTTTCCTAAAATGCAGGTCCAATCATGTCACCTTCCTGACCCTTACTCAATAAACTCAAGTGGTTTCCTAATGTCTCCTCTGGTTGGCATTCAAAACTCTTCATAACCTAAGCCCCCCTCCTACCTTTCTAATCTTCTATCTTACTCCTTAAAATGTATTCTTCAATCCAAGGATACTGGCTCCTGGTGCTTCCATGAACAAGAAACTCCATCTCTTCGATCTGGGCATTTTCTCTTTCAGGCTTACCTTCATCCACTGACTATTGACCTCCCTAGGCTACCTTTAAAATCTCACTTTCTACAGGAAGCCTTGTCTAATACCACTTGATTCCAGTGCTTTCCCTCTTTTAACTGTTTCCTATTCATCCTGTATTTATGCTTGCTTTGCATATATTTATTTGCATATTGTCTTCCCTATTGGATTGTGAGCTCCTTCAGGACACGTTCTATCTTTTGCCTCTTTTTGTATTCCCCGTGCTTAGCACTGTGCCTAGCACAAAGTAGGCACTAATTAACGTTTACTGAATGAATGGATATTTACTATACCGACTACATGTAGTAGGTTCAATTTATAGGAATCACTTTGGCACACAATCTTGCAGTTGACTAACTATGTTTATAGTGCTGAATTGCTACTAAAATCATGGCTAGATAAATTCTTCACCAGTACACATCTTTCCAGTGTTAATTTGGTATACACAAATCTCTTTTAACATTTTTTAATTTGTTTTAATTCAGTCAAAATCCACCATCCCACACAAATGCCCTCCTCCCAAATGAGAATATGAGAAAAACAAAATCCATGGGGCAGCTAGGTGTCACAGTAGATAGAGAACTGGCCCTGGATTGAGGAGGACCTGAGTTCAAATCCAACCTCAGACACGTAACACTTACTAGCTGTGTGACTTGAGCAAGTCACTTAATCCCACTGCCTAGCCAAAAACAAAAACATGTTTAATTAATCAAAACAAACTTCCACATGGTCCATGTCCAAAACAATATATCTCATCCTGTATACTGAGTCATTTCACTATTGGCAGGTATGTGGCATGTTTCACCATTAGCCCTCTGAAAATTTGGTTGATCACTATGTTGGATAGAGTTCAGCACAATAGTATTCCATCCAGTTCATACACCATAACTTGTTTATCTACTCCTCAATTTATGGGCACTCCCTCAGATTCCCATTCTTTGCCACATGAAAAGGAGCTATAAATATTTTTGCACATCCTTAGAGTTTGTTTTGCTTAGGACTAATCCCTCCCATAATTCGCTTTCTCTCTAATTCTCCCTTCCCTCTTTTCCCCTTTCCCTCTTATTTTCCTACTGAGTGAAATGGATCTCTACGACCAACTGTGTGTTTATATGCTCCTCTTTTTTTTTTTTGATTTGTTTAGATGACAGTGGGGTTCAAGTGTCAGCCCTGGCCCTTCTACTCCCAACTCGTTTGTATAGAAGATTATTTGTGCACTCTCATTATATGAGGACAATTTTCCCTAACTTTCCTTCTTCTTCTCCTTCAGTGTATTTCTCTTTCCCTCTCTTTCTACTTTTCTTAAGATCATTAAGACATAACAGAACTACTCTGAGCCCTTGGCCAATTGGTCTGCCTGTATGAACCGTGAAGATAAAATTCAAAGGGAATACATGTATCTTCTCCCCATATTTGAATGCAAACAGTTTCTTCTTGTTTAGTCTTTAATCACCGTTCATGCATGTCTACCTTTTTATGTTTCTCTTTACTCCTATATCTGAATTTCAAAGTTTTTCTACAGTTCAGGTTTTTTCATCAAGAATGCTTAGAAGTCCTTCTTTTTTTCATTAAAGGTCCATTTTCCCCCTTGTAGAATTATGCTTAGTTTTGCTGGCTGGCATTCTTGTCTGTAAGCTCATGTCCTTTACCTTCTGGAATGATATTCCAGGTTCTCTTCTTTATAGTTGTGACTGCAAAATAGTGTGGGATCTTTACTGTGGCTCCTTGGGATTTGAATTCCTTCTCTCTCACTGTCTGCTATACTTCTATTTTGACCTAGAAAGTCTGGGTTCTGGTTATGACATTCCTGGGAATTTTCATTTTCAGGTTTCTTTTAGAAGATGACTCTTTCTATAATCTACTTTCTCCTTTGGTTCTAAGAGATCTGTGCATTTAAAAAAATTTTTTTTAAAAATATACATCTAGGTTCTTTTTCCTTTTGGTCATGGCAGTCAGATAGTTCAATGATTCTTAATTTTTTTCCTCCAACATCTATTTTCCAGGACTGTTCTATTCGCTATGCCAATCTGTTAATTTCTTTCCAATTTTTTTCTAGAGCTCTCATTTCTTTTCCATTTTTCCCCCTCAAGTATTCTCATTCCATTCATGAAAAAAATAATAATATTAATTTTTTACCTTTTATTTTAAACTCTTGTTTCATCTCTTCCAGGAATTATAGTTGATGTTCTGCCCAAGCCATGTTTTACTTTGAGGCATTGCCTGTAGATGTTTTGAAATCATTCTCTTCTTTTACATTTGTGTCTTCAGTCCTGCCCTCCATAATAGCTCATTATGGTGAGGTTAATTTTTTGTTTGCCTATTTTTCTGGCTACTTCTTGACTCTACACTTATGTTAGAGCCAAGCTCTATCATGTTTCTGGAAGGAAGGTCTGGGCTGGTCCTGTTGCTGCTTTCTTGGGGGTATTCAGTATTGTGTTATTTCAGGATCTCAGAGATAGACTAGGGAACTGCAAGTTTTCAGCACCGCAAAGTGGTCTCATCTAGGACAAAGACTGAGTACTATCGCCCATTCTGAGCTCTCCAAGTTTGCAACTTGCATTTGGGTCTGAGCACGAGTAGACTGCTGATACAACTCTGCCCTATCAGTCAGCTCAGTAGTTCTGTTGGTTCAGAGTGGCAGAATTATAGGCTTCCCTTTGGTCTAGGATTCCTGCCCTGGTTACTCCTCTGTAGGCTGGGCTAGATGCTGGAAATAAGACCCTGCTGTATGCTGGGATCTAAGCTACACCTCTCCTATTAGCTTCTGAACTTCCTTTCTACACTGTCCAGGGCCTCCCATTATGGGAATATAAACACCAATTCATTAAGCAGGTCCCTTTCTCAGTATGCCCTGAGTCTCTGATCTGGAACTAGATAGTTGGTAATAAAGATGCCAGTTCATACTTGTCCCTTTATCAGTGGCTTGGGATGAGTATGATGAAACCCTGTTATGGGTGGGGGACCTCCTCTCGTCCTGGTGCACAGCCTCTCCGTGTGCACTGGAGGGCTCTATACACCATATGCTCCTTTCCCAAACCAGATCCTAGTGTCCTCACACCTTCCTGTTTTGCCTCCCTATGGTAAGCTGGAATAGAAAAATGACTCACTGTGATTTTTTTTTTCTGAATTTCTCCATCGGAATTCAGTCTGGTGCATTTTCAGATATGTTTAGAAGAGCCTGTATATAGGAACTTAATACATTGTTTCTTATCACTCTGCGACTTTGGCTCTACCTTCTATACACTCTCGTAACTTTTTAAAATTAGCCCTTGCCATATTAACAAGACTAGAATCTACAATACTATAACACGTACTCCCCTCAGTACCTAAGTCTTAAAGGTGTTGTTTCGTCTTTTTTTTTTTAAAGATAGCACTAACATGAGTATAGCTCATAAACTCATAAGCAGAATAAAAGTGATTTTTTTTTTACCAATAATATGATTTCCAGTGTCAGATACTGATTTAAAAGTATAGTTCACGGAAATCAACAGTCTTTCCATACTTATGCTGGTTGAACTATACTTAAAAGTAATGTGTCAATGTATCTAAGTATCATAATTTAAGAGGGACCATGAAAAAAGAGTGTATCCAGAGAAAGACTACCAGAATGGTACGGTCCTTTTTAGTCTAAATTTATAAATCTATAATCCTACACATTTTGGAAATTACATGATATGAAGAAGAGTTAAGGGGATTAGAGTTGTTTAGCTATTGGTAAGAAACTGAAATGAGGCATAAATGTGTTTAAAAAGGAAGACATTTTGTTCTTTTATAATGGAGAGAAAAAAGAGGAAAAATGAGTGAAAGAGAAGCAAACTCAATGTTTTATAAGAACAAATTCTCTAACAACTAGTGCCATACGTTACAACAGAGTAAGTTGCTCTATGACACAGTGAAGTTGAAGGATAACCAAATATAATAGATTAGAGATTTCTCTATTAGATGGGAGGCTGAACTAGAATGCCCTTAAATTATCAGTTATTATGGTTGGTGCTTTAAATAAGCAGCAATCCTATTAACCAATGACTCTATATAGGAGAACATACTGTATATCCTGTATAGGACATATACTTTGTACAGATTTGCTCTTTTCCTGAGTTAAATCACAAGTCTATCAACAGACATGATTCATTACCTGTTTTTGTCAGTAAAAGGTTATCCAAATGCCTGTCTCCAACTCCAAGGATATATGTAATCACACAATAGCCAGCTGCAATGACAATTCAAAAAGGAAAATTACTAAAACCAAAGTCAGAATTTGTAAATGCAATTTGTTCTATTATGATGACAATATATTTACCACCATCCTGTTTCCAACACTTACTGTGTAAGCTCAGTTTACCCAGCTGTAAATACAATAATTATAATATGTGGAGTACCTACCTTGCCAGGTTGTCCTGTGGACAAAATTATACAATATATAAAGTATTCAAAAACCTAAAAGTATTACATAAATGCCAGTGGTCATTATTATTACCACTGTAATTTTTTAACACCACTAACAAGTACATGATTTGGAAATAAGCAAAATCTATATTTGCAAGAAAGATATGATGTTGCAAAGTCATAGAGCTGCTCAAAGGTTAAATCACATATCAGGAAATTTAATTATAAAGTATGCCTGTTTTATATTCCAATATGGATACCAATTTAAAGCTCATCCTGAAAAGAAAAATACAAATCCGTAGAAATACAAAAGATAAAGTTACCATCCTGACAAGATCAGAGGGAACTGTGTTATCTGCCAAGATTACAGAGATGGCTGAAGAGCTTTTTCTTTAAATTGTGAATCTTCTGAACTGACAGCAGGTGGAAAAATAGATGCACTTATTTTAGTGGTAATGGCTTTTAAGTACCATTGCTATGAACTCCTTCTAACCCATTAAGAAAAGTGACATGATAAGGGTTAGGGTGCAAAAAGTCTTTGGATATAGTTCTCTTCTTTGGTTTTTCTGCCTTTCTTTCGTGCTTTTGTGTTTCTTCGACTGCTAAGAAAGAATTTTTAAAAAACTAGAATTTGAGACTGACAGTGAATTAAAGATGCAACTCATTATCTTTTGTGACTGTTTCATCATATCACTCTTTCCCATTACTAAAATTACAATTATAAACTATAATCAGACTCCTGTAACAATATTCCTGCAAATGGCCAAATCAGCTTTGTCCAAATGCAAAAAACACTGAAAATGAACTGATGTGTCAATATGCTCTAAGAAATGGTCTATTAGAAAATTCAAGTTATAATAAAGTAGAATAATATGCCCTTCCTCTCACATAAAACTCATTAAACAACAATATTTATTAGATATTAGGCTCTGAAAATTTAGAAAAGGAATCAGTTCAAACTAATCTGCATGGAAATATTGGTCTGTATAGTCAGTTTATCTGAAACTGGGTACAAAAATAATAGTTATCTCCCTTTTACATAGAATTTTGTATTTCCCAAAGAACTTTTAGATGTATGATTTCATATACCTTACAATTAATTATGCCTGAGGTAGGCAGGGTAATGACTATTACCCACCTTATTCTATTTATTTATTTATTTGTTTGGTTTTTTGTATGGGTAGGCAGTGGGGTCCAGTGACTTGCCCAGAGTCACACAGCTAGTAAATGTCAAGTGTCTGGTCTGAGACCAGATTTGAACTCAGGTCCTCCTGAATCCAGAGCCAGTGCTCTATCCACTGTGCCACCTAGCTGTCCCATGTTACCTACTTTACACACAACTGGATGAAAAAAAGAAGGGACTTACCCAAAGTCACACACACACATGTTGTACGTATACAAGCATGTGTGTATATGTATAGATATAGAGAGACAGAGAAAGAGATATCTAAAAAGAGATATCTCTATCTTTGTCTCTACAGCTAAGTGGTGCAGTGGATAAAGTACTAGGTCTGGAGTGAAGAAGATTCATTTTCCTGAGTTCAAATCCGGCCTCAGACACTTAAACTAGCTGTGTGACCCTGGGTAAGTCACTTAACCCTGATTGCCTTGGTTTCCTCATCTGTAAAATGAGCTGGAGAAGAAAATGGCAAAGTACTCCAGTTATCTTTGCCAAGAAAACCTTAAAAGGGATCACAACACAACTAGAAAACAAGTAAACAATGACAAATATATAGATGTCGCTACATAGAAAGGTATTCTACTTGGGTCTCTAGAGAGATTTGCATATCTCTCTAGAGACATATAGATATAGATACAGATATAAAGCTTAAGACATAAGTGTGACAATAAGGCAGTAAGAATGGGGATTTTGTTTTGTTTTTACAACACACATATCAATTGGGTCTTGGCCTTCAAGGCAGTCACCACAGAAAAAGATAGTTTTAATCCAACAATGCTGCCAAAGTGCAAAACATTTCTGCAACTCTTCTATATTTCTTCCATAGACAGTTTACAAATTACACAAAAAAATCAGTCCCACTTCTTAACAGTCGCATTTTGGACTGAGTTTGCTCAACTGTTTTTTATTCAAGAGCCTTGGTTCAGAAAGACTTTTAGCTCTTTTTAAAAAGGTCAAATCAACCCTCTAAGGATTTGTTACTATTAATGTTATACAAAAAGATGTATGTCAGGTTTTAAAAGCAATTTCAAGTAAAGATTTTCAAAAAGTTTTGAGCAATGATTACTGCCCTCCTGAGCTAACTACTTTATATGGGGGGGAAAAAAACGCCTTTTAAATTATATAAATGTCGGTAGGTTTGCTTAAAAAAAAAAGTCAATCACATTAGTTTGGTCACAATTCATACACTGAATAAATGCCATATTTAAGTTATGTATAAATTAAAAGAAAAGTATATTTAACAGGGTAGCAAAGAGTTTAGAAATTTTAAGCTTAAGAAGGCTGTGATGGGAAAGAACACCTTGATTTACCAGGAAAATATCTGTAATAGAAGAGGAAGTATCTAGAACATTCCAGGAACAAAGCAGCTGTAGGCAGCAGACCCAAGGAAGAGTTGTATGATTTTAAAGGATACATGTCAGGAAGCAAGGAATGCAAAGGATATAAGTTAGTCCTAGAAATTCTATTCACCTACCACCAATATACCTTTTGTTCAGAGGGATTATTATTTTTGTAAATGACTTGTCAATCAAATAAAGCCTACAGAGTGTTGTTGTTATTGTTTTAAAATTAGTATTCTAACTACTTTGATTAAGTCTGGTGAGAGCACAGTTAGGTAGATTTAGTACTTGTTGAATGACTGGAAAAAAAGAATGGTGATTAATGGGATGATATCAAGTTAGAAGAAGATGTCAAGTATAATGTGACAGAGCTCTTTTCTTGGCTCTTTTCTGCTACATATATTTATCAATGATAGAGATGAAGGCCTAGATGCATGCTTACCCAGTACGAAGATGAGACAAGGCTAGAAGTAGCAGCTAACAGAGAAGACAGAATCGAGCTTCATAAAGTCTTCAAAAGGCTAATTTAACTTTTGAGGTTCATGTTAACAAGACTGAAGTTAATAGAGATTAATGTCTAAGACTGGGATGCATAATAACAAACAAAAAATTAAAATGGGAGAAATACAGCTAGAAAGCAGTTTATGTTCAAAAGATCTGGGAGCTTAGTATCAATAATAGCACAGCCAAAAAAGCTAATGTAAAATTAGTTTCTCATAAGAGAAGTATAGTATACAGAAGGTAGGAGTGAGTCCCATTGTATGGTCCTGTTTAGACCACATTCTGTGTGTCTAAATGCCACAAGAATGAAGAGCATAAATAAGCTAAAACAGGGCTACAGAAGGAATACCATAATGGTGAAAACAATTCAATGATGATGATAGATAATGGGGATGTTTAGTCTAGGAAAAAGATGATCTTCATACATCTGAAAGAATTCAAATTGCTCTGGAACTGCTCTGCTTGGCCCAAGAGGAATGAATTAGGACCAACAGGCATGAGTTACAGGAAGGGAGATTTCTGTTCTATATGAGAAGAAAAAATCCAGAGCTGAACAAAAATGGAAAAGCTCCTTCCACAGTTTCCTTGACACTGGAGATTTTCAGGTGTAGGCTGGATAAACAATGGAATATTCCATTAAGAAAATTCAGTGTTCAGATAAGCAAATGTTTCTAATACGGGGTTCACCAACCCTCAAAGGGTATTTCCAAAGGTGGAAAGATTTTTGGAGGGAGGAAAAAAATCTATGAATTTGAACAGGAAAAATGTTACATTTTTTATTTCAATATAACAGGTTTCCTTTGTAACCATAGGTATTTTATTTTATTTATTTAAAAGTATTATTCTGACAAGGGGTCCATAAGTTTTACCAGACTGCCAAAAGGGTCCATGACACAAAAAAAGATTAAGAACCCCTAACACAGATGTTTTACTTCTTATGTTCCTACTAATTCCAAGATTCTATGATTATATATGTAATTATTAAGAATTAATTTTGAAAAAACTAAAGTAGAGGAAAAATTTAATATAGAACAATTTTGAAAATTAGGGGTTGTTATGTAATCAGGAATTACACATCTCTGAGACTTGTTTTCCTTCTTTGTGTCACACTTTTAAGGACACCAAACATAAAACATTAAAAGTTCATTTCTTTTATAAATGAAAAAAGCAAATAAAAGACACAGTCTCACATTCTAAATCAATGTCATATTCCCTGAAGCAGGTAAGTACATAGTTAGATTTTAAATTGCCTATGTCGGGCTCTTGCACATTACAAATTATAAACACTTTTTTTTTCTCATTTACATCACCAAGGGTTTAGATTATCTCTATGATGCAGTGAACTTTTGTCTTTGAATAAACTAATACACCATTTAATAAATTTAATGTTGCATTACTATTCTAGTGTGGTACACTAGATTACTCCAGACTACTGCAAGACATACCAAAAACAGTAGGCAGAATAAAATAAGAAAAACAAAAAACCAATCACCATATTTGTTGTCCAGTGATAAGAAAATATATAATTTCAAAGAAAAGAGAGGACTAAGATCTAATTTGAATGCAACTGTCCACTAGTTTTAATAGTTTGAAGTATTACATTTTCACACTAAAAGGCACAGAGTTTTATTTCCTATATCTCTGGGGAGAATGGGCTACTATATAAAAACATAACAGTAAATGTCCACAGTGTATGAGTGGCATTCTATTCAAATTACTTTATTAAAGAAGATGTAATTTCAATTTTCAGTCACTATTTATGAGGGATGACACATTAAAAAAGAAAAGTCACATTCAGTTATTAAATGTTTAAATTATGAGGATATTAATAATTATTTTGAAATTTAGGATGACAAGATTATTGCTTTTATGACAGCATATTCTAAAATATGTGCTAGGGTAATATTTTGAAGTTTTTTCTTTTTTTTCTTTTTTTTTATAACAGACCTATGATTTCAAGGGTACAGGAAACTCTCAGTGAGGAGGCTCTTTCAACCAATGCACATTGGCAATACTTCTGTATACAGGAGTATTTAAGAGTTAACTGCGTCACAGAGAAGTTTAGAGTCACACACACAAAAAAAGTGTCAGAAGTGGAACTTGGACCCAGGTCTTCTTGACCATAAGGCTAAGTCTCTAAATCCTATGCATTTGAAATAAGGAAATACAATTTATCCAAATGATTTTCTTCTACCTGAAAAGATAATTTGCATTCAGTATTAGGCTAATGATTTACAATTCTTGGTTTCTTCTTAGCAATGCCTAAAGTTATTAACTTCTTTTCAAAACAATTAACAAATTCTGTTTATCACACAAGAATACAGTCAGCAATAACATATCTAGAATTCTGGGATGCAGATCCCTAGAAAGCAACCTAATCATTGAACACTCATTCTAAAATATTTTTTGAGGCCATTTGGAAAACGAGTCTTTGATATTTAAGAGTCCTCCAGAATTCAAGCTGAATCCTAAAGTAACAAAAATATTTAGTCTCAAGGGATATTTACTGAATAGGAAAATGATTTCATTTATCTAAGAGGTATATGGGTCCCTTTTAGTTAAAAATTCCCAACCAGGAAGGCTTGTTTTCTTTCTCTTGGAGACAAACTTGTTAATTAGATTTCTTGCAGTTATAACTGGGTTCAAGTGATAGACTGCAAAATGGAACATCAGATCTCAGAGTCCTATTTCCTAGAAGATTTAATCTGTTGGATAATCATAGGAATTATGCTTCCACATAATAAATGAGGCTGCAGGATAGATCCTTGAACATCGTCTTTAAAAGATTTAAGGAGCGGGGGGGAAGCTAGGTGGCTCAGAGGACAGAGCACCGGCCCTGGTTTCAGGAGGACCTGAGTTCAAATTTGGCCTCAGACATATAACACTTAGTAGGTAAGTGACCCTAGGCAAATCACTTAACCCCCACTGCCCAACCAAAAAAACCAAAGCAAAACAAAACAAAATTTAAGGAGTCAAACCAAATAAAATAGGAGAAAAATCTGTATACCAGCAAATATCACTTCACAAAGAGTTAAATTAAATTAGTGCTGTTATTATTGTTTTGGCAAAATACAATGGTTCTTTTCACTGTTGTTCATAAGCATCATAAAGTATGCTTTGCTATTTTGCTTTTGCTCCTACAATTTCACATAGCATCTAAAACTTACCACACTTTAAAATGGTATGGATGTGGCAACATCATCTCAAAAAAAGAGTTACTTTTATCAATAATGCACATGAATGTCATTATTCCCTAAGACTGAAGTGATAGCTTACTTGTCTATATCTAAGAACATTAATATAAAGTAATAACTTGAAGACTTACCACAGCTTTTAACATAAGTATCCATCACTTCAGCACTTATTCCATTAGGTCCATTCTCACTTGGTGCATATCTTCTAAAAAAGTTCTGAAAGAACATTATTTACATAATTATTTAACACAATCTTGAAACAAATGAAGGATATAATATAAGAAATGTAAAGGAATTTTTAAAAATGAGCAAAGAGTATTTGGTTTATAACCTTAGTTAATCTATTATCGTACTAAGACAACAAGAGTAGACATCCCTCAGGAGGTGGTCTTCCTATTTAGAGGACTGTCAAGACTGAACATAAGAATACATGCTGGTACAGTCATACTATGAGAAAACAATAAAATGACATGGCAAAGTAAATTTTATTTTAATGCTACACTTCTCATCCTATTTTATCTCTTTGCTCTGTTATTCTCTACAATATGAACACTGAATTTTAAAATTACCTTTTAAATAGAAATACACTGAAGAAAAACATTTTTAAAATATCAATAAAATAAAAGCTAAACAAAAATAAAAATGTTAAATTTTAGCAGTTAAAAAAAGGAATCACATGAGCTATTAATAAGACATCTGTTCATGCTTCCCACAACGTAGAATTCTTACACCATCTTTGACATCCATCATCATCCACATATAAGATCTTAAACCTTGCCAATTTGTTCTAAATACCATAATCTATACTTTTTTTTTTTAATGACAAATTGCTTAGGACAGTTCCTCATCAAATTCAGGTTCTATAGCTCACATCATGTGAAAGAAACAGCTGATATTTTGAGTATAGGGAATTCTCTCCACTAATGCACACTGCAACTCTATGTCCCTTAATTCAAGTCTTCTTGATTTCAAATCCAGCACTCTATCACTATGACATGTTGCCTCCAATCATATAATCAAATAAAATATTTCTTGCTTTAGCCTGACTCCTTTTCAATTTACTGTGGTGAAAAGAAAAATGGATTAGGATCCGGTAAACCGGGGTTCTAGTTTAGGCAAGTCATATTCTGGACCTGAGATTCCTTACTCACAAAACTAGAGGGTTGAAACAGATACTACATAAGGTCAGCAATCACTATAACTCTCTAGGTTTCTGGAACTACAAAGTTAAATCTCTCATAACAACCTTTTTAAAAAAATTTTATTCATTTTAAACTTAAATACAAAAGGAGAAAAGAAAAAAAAGCCATTCCATGTACACAGCAGAACACAAAAGAGGATTCAATATAAAGCAATAAATTTCATTTTCAAGAAAACCTACGTAATAAATGCTACACATTGTTTTCAAAGTTACGCAGCGTTTCTGTGCTTCCTTCTGGTTTTTCTTTTGTTTTTTGCTATGCATCTTTTATTTCCCCCCCTTTCCCCTTGCCCTAGAGAAGGCTAAAATTAAACGTGTATACATACATATCTATAAATACATATACATACACACATATACATATAAAACCAAACTATGCATATTTCTATTTGTCAGTTATTTCTTTGAAGGTGGATAGCATTTTCTTTCACAGGTCTAAGCCTTCCTCTGTTTTTCTAAATCAACCAGCTTATCATTTCTTATATCACAATAGTATTACATCACAATCATATAAACATAGCTTGTTTTGCCATTCCTCAACTGAAGGGCAGCTATCATTTTAGCCAATCTGAGAGGTATAAGGTGATGTCAAAGTTCTCTAATCAATAATGATTTAGACACCAGCCATAGAGTCAGGAGGACCTGAGTTCAAATCCAGCCTCAGACATATGATACTCACTAGCCATGTGACCCTGGCCAAGTCACTTGACCCCAACTGTCTCGTAAAAAAAAAAAAAGATTTAGAGCATTTTTTCATACGATTACATACAGTTTTATATCTTCATCGAAAAACTGCCTGTTCGTATCCATTGTCCATCTATCAACTGGGGTATGACTCATACTCTTATAAATTTGACAAAGTTCTTCATATATTTGAGAAATGAAATCTAAACAATACTGAATAATATTGGTGACACTTAGTGTAGGTACCCTACTTTTCTCTTTTAATTAAATCTATTTTAGCTCTAACTTTGTCTGAGATCATAACTACTATCTCTGCTTTTTTTACATAATAAATTCTACTCCTGCCCTTTATTTTAACTTTGTGTATCTTTCATTTTTATTGTTTCCTGAAAATACCACATTGTTGAATTCAAATTTTTAATTAATTCTTCTATCCATTTCTACTTTATTCAGCCCATTTACACTCAAAGTTACAATTACTTGTTGTGTATTTCCTTCCATCCTAGTTTTCCTGTCTTTTTGATTCTATTTACCCTATCCCTCCTCACTCATCTCAGTTATTTCTACCAGCTACCTTGCCCTCCTATTATCTACTCATCACTCTAATAATCCCTCCCTTAACCTCTCCCCCTACCCTCTACTTTAATCTGCCCATCTTTCTAAAAGTTTCTCTTATCCCCTCCCCCAAGTTCTTAACCTATACACCCTTCTAAAACTCCATCCCTTATCAAATCCCCTTGTCCTCGTTTCTTTCTAAACTTAGAAGACTGGTATCCCCTTTCTAGATGAACATGTTGTTCTCTCTTTAACCTATTTCTGATGAGGGTTAAGGTTGCAGCACTAGCAGCCCTCCACTCTCTATCAACTCTTCCTTTCATGCCTCATTTGTAGAAGATAATTACTTTTTAAAATTTTTCCCTGCAGTTTTATTTTTAGACTTACCCCATCATACACAGCTCAGCCCAAGCCTTTCTCAAACTATCCAAATAATGATGACAATGATAAGAGTACTGATAACATTTTCAAATGTAAGAAGCAAAGAGTTTGACCTTATTGAGTTCCTTATAATTGGTCTTTAATGTTTACTTTATACTGGATCTTATAGGTTGAATTTTTCCACTAAGTTCTGCTATTTTTGACAAAAATACCTAAAAGTCTTTCAATTTGTTAAATGTCCAATTTTTTTATTCATTTTTTTCATTCCTTACCTTTGCTGGGTAAGGTACCCTTATTCATAACCCTAGCTCTTTTGTTCTACAAAATACAGTATTCCAAAGCTTATAGTCCTTCAACATAGAAGCTGCTAGGAATTTTGATTTTAGCTCCATGACGTTTAAATTTTTTTTTCCTGTTGCTAGCAATATTTTCTCCTTTTCCAGGGAGCCTTGAAATTTGGCTATAATATTCCTATAAGTTCTCCTCCTGGGATCTCTTTCAAGTGGTGATCAGTACATTTTTTTCTGTTTCTGCTTTACCTTCTTGTTCTAGAACTTAAGGGCAATTTTCCTTAACAATTTCTTGTAATATTGTATCAAGATTCTTTTTTTGATTATAACTTTCAGGTAGTCTAACTATTCCTATGCTGTTTCCCTCTGATCTGTTTTCCCTATCAATTTTTTTTTTTTGCTTTTAGGCAATTGGGGTTAAGTGACTTGCCCAGGGTCACACAGCTAGTAAGTGTCAAGTATTTGGTCTGAAGCCGGATTTGAACTCAGGTCCTCCTGACTTCAGGGCCGGTGCTCTATACACTGCATCACCTAGCTGCCCCCCCCATCAATTTTCTTATGAGATGTTTCACATTCTCTTCTATTTTTTCATTCTTTTGATTTTGTTTTACTATTTCTTGGTGTCTTACAATGTTCGTAGCTTCCCCTTGCCCAATTCTAGTTTTCAACGAATTATTTTCTTCCTTAAGTTTTTGATTCTCTTTTTCCAGTTGGTTGACTTTCTTTTCATAGTTCACTTGATTTTCTTGGATCACTCATTTTTTTCCTCTAATTTTTCCTTCATCTCTCTTAACTGATTTTTAAAATCCTTTCTAAGTTCTTCCACGAACTCTTTTTGGGCCTGTGACCATTTAATATTTTTTTTAATTGAAAAAGGAGTGCCTTTTTTAATTCCCTTATCTCCTTCAAATATGAACCTAGATCTTCTCTATCCCCATATAGTAGCTACTTATGGTTGGGTTCTTCTCCTTTGCTTATTTTTATTTTGTTTTATTTTATTTTTAGCAGCTTATTAGAATAATCAGATTCCAGTCCCAAGGTGTGAAGAAAGATGCCCCAGGCCTCAGGTCCTTCTTACTGTAATTTTCTGAGCTCTGTCCTTGGGCCCAACCTCAGACACTCCTCTCCACACTAAAGCAAGGGTGATCTAAGTTTTTGAAGGATCTACCAGAAAAGTAAAAGCAAGTTCTTACAGGTTCTACCAGGCTGAAATGGCCTAAAATGAACAAGAATCCCCAAACCACATGCTTATTGGTTACAAGAATTAGAGATGTCTTTTATCTTTTATTACATTAATCAGATGCTTAATGAATGAAATGGAAATTGTACCTGAATACTTCCTTCGGTATCAAGAACTTCAGCAACAGGAACTGACTGAATAAACTGCATAAAGCCTATAAATATATGAATTACATTAAACACGAGCATCTACTGAATAACAGAAATAAAGATTTGACTAAAAAATACAATAAGGTACTTTCATGTGCACATACATTTATAAGTGTAATCTTCAGTCTAAAAGGTAAACTCTTAGGATGAATTTTCATGGTACAGTGGAAAGAATAGTAACCAGGTCAGAATATCTAGATGTGAGGTAGAATAAGACAGACACTGTGTAACACAGCCTATGTGGGAATCTGTTTTACCTGACCATGCATATCTGTTCCAAAGGCTTTGTTTTTCTTTCTTTTCTCCAACTCCCATGAAGGAGAAAGGAGAGGGAAGAATCACTGAGGCATTTTTTAAAATACAGATAACAGAAGAAGGGCCAGGAAAAAAACAATTGTAGACAAAGAGGAGAGCTTTGAAAGCTCTTGGTTGACTTTTTTCTATGTAGTTAAAAAGAAAAGCAAGCTTTACAAACACCATTTGCCATTTCATTACAATCTTCTTTCTCTGCTCTACTATGCATATAAAAGTGCCTTTTTTTATTTGGTGTTTGTTATGTTCAGAACTAAAAAAATAACACAAGCCTTTGCAAGAAAGAATGACATCACACATAGTCTATGCATCTTATCACAGTGCTTTATCAAAGCATTTATCATAGTGCCTGGTGTACAGTGGACCAGGCTTATTGAATAATTCTGAGTTTTAGTTCTCCCCCCCAGTTCTTCGAGGTTTATTCCATTCATCTAATTTCCATTCAAACACACTGGTCTCCAAGATTCATCAATCTTCTTCAATGCCCATGAGAAAAATCTTCACTTCACCTCAGCCACCCAATATTACATTTCATACCTCACCAATACTGTACTACCTCCTGTCCTTTCATTTCTTCCTCAGCTACATACCTAAATATAATTTCCACTGTCACCAAGACTCACAGTCCTTCAACTCCTTGAGCCTTTTGCTGACTTTGGCTTCATTTTCCTCTCTTTGACCTTATGATTGACCAGTTCAATTAAAGAAGATCCTCCACCTCTGAATGCCTAGCACTCTTGTCCTACTGACACTTAGCCTCTGTCCCCTTGACAAATTCTTATCATCTACTTTTCTGTTCCTAATCTGTGCTACTAGAGAAAGTCAGGAAACTGTGCCAAGTTATCTCAGGTCCCCCAATGTTTAGAGTAAACTTTTCATTATTTCCTGATTAACTCTCCACTAATTTCTCTACACTAAACCTTCTATTCTGAAACCCTCTACATTCTTTGTTACTCTTTTTTTTTATAGAAGGAAAGAGAGAAAAACTCCCTATCTTCCTATTTAAAATTAATATCTCCATCTTAGAAATTTGTCTTCATTTCATTTGTAGTAAGGAAAAATGTATTCCTCTTTTGTTTCCTCAAATGATCCTTGCTATACAGCTAACAATGATGAAGTTCTGTATAAATTGAAATGCAAATAATCCCATCTGCATGGATAATATAAATGAAAAATAGCTACTTTCCTTTTAGCATAAAAAACCTGAAAGTTTCTAGGTAAAGACAGAAAAGAAAGGTTATCAGAAGTCTCCCTATATTGGGCAGCTGCAGGTGGCATAGTGGATACAGCATCGGTCCTAGATTCTGGAAGACCTAAGTTCAAATCCGGCTTCAGACATATAACACTTACTAGCTGTGTGACCCTGGGAAAGTCACTTAACCTCACTGCCCAGCCAAAAAAAAAAAGTCTTCCTATAGCTATATGCATGTTTTCTGTGTTCTTAAAGATTAGTGTTTCAAACCTCTGCATCTGACTACCATCTACCTTTCAATATCAATCCTACATTCCTCTCCTTTACAAAGTCAATATTCCAAGCAAATTGGCCCACCTCTTGTTTCCTGAACTCACCACTCCATTGGCCACCTCAGTGCCTTTGTACAGAGAGTCCTTCTTAAATTCCTGTAATATACTCCTTGCTTAATTATATTTCCTCAGGATCTTCAGGTTCCTTCTAGGCTGAGATATGGTGCCACCTCCCATGGGAAGTCCTCCTGATTCTCTAATTAGTACTCTCTCCCTTCTTCCTCAAATTACTTTGAATTTACTTATTTGAGTAGACAGAGTAGTCCAAGCAGAAAGAAAGTTCCTTAAAGGCATAAAGTGTTTTATTTTTATCTACTTCTTCCAGTATAATTTAGTACTTAATAACAGTAGATGCTTAATAAATGTTTATTGAATGGAACTTATTTCCAGTGAATATAGAAAAATCCAGACCTCAATCATTCATAAGATAATGACTACATATAACACAACAGTATTTTAAATGTTTCACTTTTAAAGGAAGAAAATAGACTTAGTGAATTTTAGAATGTTAAGCCCTATCATGAGCATAATGTGAAATCAACTTACCATGTTTTGTACTAGTAGCTAACACCTTATAAGGTGTCAACTTCAAATCCAGATTCTCTTTCCGTAACAACTGCAAGGTAAAGGACAAATATATTAGCCAAGTCTGAAGGAATTATTTTATGAACTATATTTATTTGACAGGCAATAGAAAAGCTTCATATATGTGTCATTTTTAGACAATCCTCAATCATTATAGTTATCAAAAGGAAATTAATCTTCCATATAAAACTCTGTTAAATGTTCTGACCTCTACTTAAATCAAACACTTTTTTATCATTTGATTTCAGAATGAGTTTCAGGTAAGCCACAGGGATCCATGAGAGGTTATAAAGGGTTCAATTTGGTTATTATATAACTTAAAGTAAAGAAAAAAGTAAGGTAAGTGTTCTTCTTAGGGAACACAGAAATGTTAGGAATAAGGGGTAGAGAAGGAGCTTTACATGATTAAAGTAGGGGGAAGGGGAAGGGAAAACCTAGGCATGGGCCAGGCAAAAAAGATAAAACTGAAAATGAGGTCTGGGAAATGTAGATAAGATAGCAAAAGGAACCTTCAAGAGGAAAAATTCAGAAGATACTATAACAGTTCTTCATAGCGAACATATGCAATTCCATTTTAAACTGACCATACAGGAATCATTCTGAGGTGAACAAACATAATAAAAATGTTCCTATTTAGCATTTAAGTGAAGATGGCTTAGCTGCTAATATCTCATCTTAATATGACAAATTATTTCATTTGCAAATTCAACCTGTATTCTAAATCTTAGGTTTTGGTTTTAGTTTTTTAAAGATGAATCTCCATCTTCCAAAATGGTTACAGTTACCTTATCCATGAGTGAAATGATTTGGAGAATAAGTTGGTCTTGGCGTAGATCATCTCCATGCTTAAATATGACAGGATATTTACCTCCATCTTCTGTTTTGAAGAACAACTGGGCAGGCATAAGAGCACTCTGAAAAAAGATTTTTTTTTTCTTCAAATTTGGCTCTGAATCAATGACTTTAATAAAAACAAAGAAACAATGGGAGAGTGAAATGGAAATGAATGATTTAAGAACACTGAAAAAACGTGGAGATTGATAAATGGTGCTTAAATACTGGCAAACTGCACTGCTGAGCACTGTTTTTGAGAAATAAGAGAGAACCTTACAGAAGTTCATAACAATTCACAAAGGCAAACCTTCTTTTTTTATTTTTAAAGGATGCTAAGTGAAAGTATATATGGATCAGATTATTCCTGAATCCCAAAATTCAGGATACCTTATCATTAGGTAGTCAAGTAGGCACCAACATGGCCTTTTAAGGAGCAAATAAAGCCAGACTGATATAATTTTCTTCTTTGGGAAGAGTTAGAAGTCATATAGATGAAAGAAATGGATAAAATATTGTAAGTGGTTAGAAAGAAAGCATCCATAATTTTGAAGCAATACCTAACAAGATCAATCTAATACTAAGGGAATGATAAATGGTCTTCCTTTGTAAAGACAGGGGCAGTCTTCAAGATATAGTCATGCAAAATGCTAGAGTCTACTTCATTTTTTAATTCTTTTCCATGGATTTCAAGAAATATTTGGATTCTACACCTCTTAGCCAATATATAGATTCTTTACTTGTTACAAGTTATTTGTATCAACTCTTAAAAAGTCTTTTGTCATTCAAGAAAAATTCTTCACAAAGATCTGAAACCTAAAAATCTTATCATTAATAATAAAGGAGTAATTAAACTAGCTGACTTTGCACTTACATGAACCTTTGAAGTATCTATATGGGTATTAACACATAAGGCATAAAAGTGCTATGGGTCTCTGGAGTTTTCATAGGATCTGTTGTATATTCTAATCTATTAGATATTTGGAGTATAGGCACAATACTGAATTAGCAACAAAGATGCTACTTTTCTATTGAGATTTGAAACTGATCAACTCCTCAGAATCTTCTAGGCTTTGGGGTTCCCCAATAATAAAGTATAGCCAGAAGGTGAATTGCAGATATCATAAAAATACATTTCCCCAATTGGAAATATGATGTCACATGTCAAAAACCTGAATGAAAGTGATGTAGATTTGTTATATTAGTCTGCCAAATGAATTTCTTACAAAATGGCCATGAACCATTTATATTTTAATGACTTGGATAGATTAAGAAGCTCTAATTCTTCAGCTAAATGTTTCCAGGGGTTTTGTATTAAGAATAAATAGTCATCTTTTACCGTTCAAAGTTTACTGTCAACTTTGTCAATTTGCCTTCATTGTGTTTTCTTTCTTTGTTGCAAAACTGAAGCTGTCCTCTTTCTTCAAAGGTATTTACTTAAATCTGTAAATATCATTAGAATGAATAATGCTCTAAATAGATTCCAACAATACAGCTATTTTGTTTTCTATAAATAAAACTGCAAATTCAAAATAAAAAAAGCTACTACTCTTACAATTAAGCCCTGTCCCAGACTTCTGGACTCATGATGGAATGTCTTAGCAGGACCTCCACTCCCCATCTCTGAACCCCAAATCTTACTGGACCTTCCTTCAAGTTAGGGGCATCCTTATCTGTAGTGTCCAAGAATTTCCAGAGAACTAAGGAAGAATGAGTTTGATGTTGTTCATTTGTTTCAGTCACGTTCAACTCTTTGTGATGCCCTTTGAGGTTTTCTTGGCAAAGATACTGGTTTGCTACTTCCTTGCCCAACTCATTTTACAGATGAGAAAACTGAGGTAAACAGGGTTAAGTGACCTGCCCAGGGTCAGACAACTAGTAAATGTCTGAGGCTGGATTTGAACCTAAGAAACAATGTCTTCCTGACTCCAGGCCCAGCACTCTATTCACTGTGCCTCCTACCTGCCCCAATGAAGAACTACTGTTATTTAAACTCAGAGATATCTAAGAGAGAAACTCACTACAACACCCACTACTCCTGATAACAGCTATATCCTTCCACATCAGGCTTGTATAAATTGCAGCCCAGGGGGCACTTAGAGCTTGAGGTATACCAAAGGATTTCAGGCTGCCTGCAAAATAATGTAGAGGAAAACACCCTTTGTATGTAGAGGAAATCCTTTGTTAGGTAGCCAAGGGCCATAAGTGCCTGCAAGTTGTGCAGGCCTGCTCTAGAGTAAAACTCTCACTGGTAACCAGAACTGTAGGTATAGGAGCAGCTTAAGCTTTTTAATCCAATGAGCACTTAGAAAAGTACTGCCTCAGCACATAGTAAAGGAGAGATTTATGGCACACTGGACAGAGGACTGGACTTAAGAAATGGGAAGACCTGAGTTCAAATCCTGACTCAGGTACTTACTAGCTGTATAGTTCTGAGTAAGTCATTGTCTTCGTCTTCATCATCATCATCACAGCATTTACATAACATCTACTTAAATTCCAGGTACTGGAATTACTAAGCACTTTGCAAATATTATTTCATATGAGATTCACAACAACCCTTGAAGGTAGGCACTGTCATTTTTCCTGTTAGGAAATCAAGGAAGACAGAGGCTAAGTGACTTGACAAGGTCACAAAGTTAGTAAGTGTCTAAGACCAGAACCTGAACTTAAGTCTTCCTGATTCCAGGCATGCACTTTATCCAGTGAGCCATCTTGATTTTTTTCACCTATAAAATAGTGATAATCATAGCATCTACATAATAGAGTTGTTGTGAAAATCAAATGAGAAAACTATATAAAGTGCTTTATAAATTTTAAAACACTATATAAATGTGAAATATTACTATAATTATATCATATATACTATAGCCTCAATAAATTCTACTTTTATACTAATAGAATTCAATTTTTATACTACTGAAGAAAAAAGAGGAGAGAGATAGACCAGATAACGGTAATTAGAACTGAGGATTCAGAAAGACACAAAGACACAAAGAATGAATAAGTGTTAATGGTTTAATGTCCACAAGGTAGGAAGTCTTCGGTGGAGTATCCCATGGCTCTGTACTTGGTTCTGTGTTGTTTAACATTTTTAATGACTTGGATAAAGGAATACATGGTATGCTCATCAGATATGCATAAAATGAAAAGCTGAGTGGGATAAGAGATTCAGATCCAAAAGGACTCTGACAGGCTAGAGACTGAGTTGAATCTAATAAAAAGAAATTCAATAACGACAAAGTCTTATGCTTGGGTACAAAAAAAATCAATGTTCTAAGTATAAAATTGGGCGAGAAGAGTTACACAGCAATTCTGAAAAAGATCTGGGAGTATTAATAGACCACAAGCTCATTATACATCAATGGCAGTGGCATGATGTTGCAGTGAAAGAAACTAATGAAATTTTGTTCTTTATTAAGACAGGCCGAGCTCCCAAAAATATGGAGGTGATAATCCCACTATAGTCTGTCCTCCCCAGACTTCAACTTCAGTACTGTATTTATTTCTGTGCATGACACTTTAAGAATGACACTGATAAGCTGTAGACCATCCAGAAGAAAACAACCAGCATCCTGAAGAGCCCTGAGTTATACGAGGAATATTAAGAAAAAGGAAAAAAAAGCTGGGCATACTGAGCTTGGCAAAAGACAACTTAGGAGGGACATGATAACAGTCTTTGCTTATGTGAAAAGCTGTCATGCAGAGGGTTAATTAGAATTTTCTGTTTGGACCCAGAACGCAGAACAAGAAACAAAGGGAAGAAGTTGAAAAGATGCAAATTTACATTTCATTTTAGGACAGACAAATTTCCTAACAATTAGAGTTACAGAAAAACGAAAAGAACGGCTTCCTTTGACAGGTAGGAGGTGCCCTCTTCTTGAAATCTTTAAGCAGATGGCAGAACAGGGAACAACAAATTATTTTTGACTGTAAGTACGTTATATGGGGATTCCTTCTGTGTGGCTGCCGAGGTACCCTTTCAACTCTCAAATTCTGTGCTTCTACAAAAATATTTGTGCGCTGAATGTGTTTCAACAAAAGAAAATAAGGTTGTCTTTTATAGATTACTTAAGTTGTTTAAATCACTCTTGGTTTCCATGTCAATCCCTTGTGCTTTACTATGTCCTCTCTAGTCTCAATATCCACTAAATCCTGAATCCAGACTAATTCAGTCCTGCTCCCTTTGCATCACACATGCTGGGGGCCATCATATGATGGTGTGGTGATATGCACCACTGCAATGCCTAACATGCTACAATTCGCATCTATTTACAAAGTCAGCTTTCCAGTACCAAGTCAATTTGTGACCAGCCAAAGAGCTGGGAACATTAAGGACCAAAGGGAACTGCCATTCTGAAATATAAGGCATGATCCAGTGTTCACAAAGCAAGTCTGGAGATGGGATGATATTAAAATGGCCAATTGGGACTCACATTCATCCATTTAAAGATGTACACTGAATGTATAAAGTACAAGTTTAAAATAATTTTTAATGCCCTGAATTACAGGGGCAAGTATGGCTTTGATTATTAATTAGCTCTGGGCGTTTAAGATTTTTAAATAAGGAAAAAGGACATAAAAAAGACATTTCACATACGAAAAATATTAATGCAGAAACATGACAAAGAGATATAAAGACTATGATGCATGAATGATTAAAGTTTCCCTCTTCTTTTTTAATTATACTTTTGTTAAATTATAAATAATTTAATTATTGTTACTAATAATAATTAATTACTAAATTGTAGTCCCTATAATGTAGTAATTTTTCCAAAACTTTGGAGAACCAAATTAGTCTCAAATGATACAAATTAAGGTCCATACATTTATCATTACCTTAAATAGTGTAGCTGTCTCTGGTATTATTCCTTTAATTTTCACTTGTGGTTCCAATGGCAATGGGATGAGTTCCACATCTGACAAATTCATCTTTTCATTATCTCCTAGCAATGCCTGTAGCCTTTCATTCTAGGGGAACAAACCAATAAAAGCTGAATTAGATTAAAATAAAATAAACAACAAATGGTGAAAATATTTAAAAAAGTGTTATTAATTCTTCACTATTAGCCAAAAGGCATTCTATTTTGTGTAAAAATATACAAAAACAAGACAGCTAGGTGGTACAGTGGATACAGCCTTAGATGTGAAGTCAGAAAGACCAGAGTTCAAATCCAGCCTCAGACACTTACTAGCTGTATGACCCTGGGCAAGTCATTTAACCCTGTTTGCCTCAGTTTCTTCATCAGCAAAATGAGCTGGAGAAGGAAATGGCAAACCACTCCAGTATCTTTACCAAGAAAACCATAAATGGTTACAAGAAAACCATAAATGGTTACAAAGTATCGGACATGACTGAAACGAGTGAAAAACAATATAAAATAGACAGAATGAATACGTATATACGCATACATGTATGGCATATGGGACATCTGTTGTCTGTCCTTCCTTATCAGAAGACCAATGACATCAGGAAGGTGATGTCATGACTTGCAAGTGAATTGGATTTAAGCAAAAGGCAAGGCTGTGCAAAGTCACCAGCCCTCACTCCCTCCACAGCCATTTGGGCCTAGTGGCAAGATATATATCAGGACAACTGGAGATAGCCCCAAATGCAGTGGGAGACTTTTATAAGGTCCAGGTACTGACTGATTCTCTCTCAATATGTTGTAAAAGGAAGGAAAAATTCCTTGATATCAATATCTGTAAGAATTACATCTGTAAGATATCAAATTCTGTAAGAAAGACCAAAAGGAAATTCATCCTGTTAAACTTGAAGATATAATCAGGGTCATACTTAGGCCCAAGTTAAAGAGTTAAATTTCTATTTCAAAGGATCTGGAAAGAAATTTGCCAAAACTCTCCTTTTGGAATTCATTTCAAGTTGTGTCTTAGACTCAAACACCACAGGACTGAGAATGTTGTCATGCTGCTTCTGTGCCTTCTATGTGATTATACTGTTAACAACTGACTTATAATCCCTGGTCCCTTAGCTACCCCTCCCTGTTACCTTATTATTCATCTTCTCTCTGCCCCTATATCACTTCTGTCCTCTCCCCAATTTCATTTTTAGATAAGGAGAATGTCAAACTCATATTACTTATGAAAAAAAGTTAAATAAATGATAGCTGGTAGCACTGCTCAAGGGTTCAGAAATAATATTCATTTCTTTTGATTGTTAGATAACATGGAAAGTCACATAATAAGCTTGAAAATAATTATTTTCAAAGAGACACAGAAAATTAATATTACCATACATAAATCAAACTAAGAAAAAGTAACTCAATAACACAGTACCAAAAATTTCCTAAGCAATTAAAGTCAAATAATGTTTGCAAAATGTAATTTCCAGAGCCAAAATAGAAAAAATTCCCACTGATAAGTATGTAATTAAAGTCAAATGATATTTGCAAAATGTAATTTTTGAGGTGAAATACAAAAAAATTCCTATTGATAAGTATGTCCTGAGTAGAAACAATGTGATAGACAGCAAAACTGGATCACGCGCAAAGAGATTCAGTTTTTAGTCTCGATTCTGTTACTAACTTGTGTGACCTCCATTAAGTCACTGGACTTGTCTAAGCCTTAATTTCGTCATCTACAAAATGAGGTGATTTGACCTTGGATATCCTAAGATCATGTCTTGTTCTGAAATTTCATCATTCTAACGTATGATATTGTAGTTTCACAACATAAATAAGCCTAAGGAGATATTAGATAAAACTTAGTTCTTTGCCACAATGGGCCCTCAATTAGAAGCAGAAAAACTAAATAAAAGGCTTACCTTTTTCTTACGATTTCCACTTTCACGTTGCACAGCTTTCATTAGACAAACCAGTCGATCTACAAACGTTTGCTGTGCAGCCAGCAAAGAACGCATAACTCTAACAGACTTATCACCCTGAGAAGATTAAAAGAAAGAGAAAATTACTTTTCTCTACAATAGTGATGAGGGTTTCTTTAGAAGCTTGGGTGATCTTTATTTATTCTTCTAATAGCCATAAACTTCAAGACAAAGCTGAATCGAAAAAGATTAATTATCTTGATTCAAAGATAATGAGAAACACTGGCTCCCAGTTAAAGTCCCACCATTACATCTAAAGTTGAAAATTGTCTGATTCTTCAATAAAGATAAGTTTCTGTCAACAATAACACTTTTTACAGTATACATTCATGCAACAAGATATAATTTATTTAATATTCATTCATTTTGCTGTCTATCACATTGTTTCTACTCTGGGAAACACAAATACTTAGACAAAAAAGCATCTGTCCTCAAGGAGCTGATGCAATGGTAGGAAAGATGGCTGTCATAGAGGATATTCTAAAAGTCTAAGTTTAAGACTTCTGAGACACGTGGTACATTTTGTACAATAAACGGAAGACTGTGGGTTATGGAAGATGGAGAGATAATGTCCACCTGGACTAAGAACAGAGGCATGATGGTTGAGTAGGTATTGAAGCTGAGCAGGTATTGAAGCTGAGCCTTTTATTTAAATAGGTGGCAATGCTACAGGAGTGTGAAATCAATCAATCAAGAAGAGAAGTAACAATTAGCCAGGCCCTTCACCACCAGGAAGTGTCATACCACAACAGAAATATATAGTTTTAATTTCCTTGAGATTTAAATTAACATTAAATGTGTTTAAAACGTGAAGTGCTAGACAATGTTATGAATATCTTCAAGCAAAGCTATAGATTTAAGCAGAAAAAGACACTTCATTCTTATTACTCTCACACCCTCTACTGGCTGACCAGTGACATGATTTTTAGAATCAAATGTCAACTAGAAAAGGAAATCAAGTATTTCTGAAAAGTGCTAGAAGAAGTTAATATTGAAGGTAAAGATTTTGAATTGGGACGATCACACTTAAGACATCTGTAAATGAACACAGTATAAACCAGAAAATTAGGGATCAGAGAAAGCACATAGGAAAGCATATTTCTTGGTTTTCTTCTTTTCAAGCAAAAGCTCACTTTATTAAAAATCGTTACCTTCAGTAATGCCTGGCTGAATCTTCTCATTACATTCAGGTACATTTCATGTGTCTTTGGGTCTCTCTGTTGAGTATCCTGATCTTCACATTCCACTATAACATACCTTTAAAAAGTAGATATAATTTTTATTGCATGAAATCAAAATGAGGCTGATTTAACTCATATATAGCACAAGTAAGAGAACAGGCACTTGGCAAACCTTAGAGAGTAATATAATTGTCAATTACTCTTACTGCCAATATCATCATGATTTTATACCTGTCTTTTTTCTCAAACATACAATGACTAAAACTTACAATGCAAATATGAAAGGCAATGTGGCTTAACAAAGAGAAAGGTGAATGTCCAATCAGGAAGGTCTGATCTCAAGTCCTACCTCTTACACATCCTGGCAGTGGGAGCCAGGACAAGTCATTAAATCTCTCCGCATCCCAAGCAATTTTTTTAAGAGTTGGAGAGTAGTTGTCCAGCTGCATCACTATGAGTTTTCCTCTTCTACTAGTCAAACACACACACTCTCCAAGTACCTCATAACCATGAAATCAGAATGGCTTATGACAGAGAAATCAGATTCAAACAAATAAGCAAACAAAAATAACCTAAGAAATACTATCCTTTTATTGATGAAAAATTAATTCAGTGACATATCACTTTTTCAAAGAAGCACTTTAAGGATAGAGATACCTTAGATTTGTATACCATGCATGAAAGCATCTGAAACTCCTAACAATTCAGTAAGTACGAGGACAAAGATTATCTTTCCTATTTTACAGAACAAAGTGAAAATAAAAAGTTAGTGACTTGCCCAGAGTAACAAAAGTACTGGAGGTAAGCAAGGACTGGCATCCATAATCTCCTAATTCAAAACTCTTACCAATATAAAGCTTTTGTATTTTTTTAATGAAAGGACAACATTGGGTTCTATTGTTTTGGATGATATACAGAAAGTTTTTCCTTATAATCAGCCAAAATCTCCCACTCTACAGTATCCAGCTACTACTCTTAGTTTTATCCTCTGACATCTAGAAGACCAAATATCATCCCTCTCCAACATGACAGTTTTAGATTCATAAAATATGCCATCATGTCTCCCACACAGTCTCTTCTCCAAGCTAAACACCTTCAGTTCATTCAACAGATTTTCATATGGCACAGATTTCAGTCTTTTCACCAGAACTGGACCAAATATGCCAGAGGTAGTCTAACCACAAGAGACTATATGTACTCTGTCACTATAAACTCTCATTCTAAAACAATCTAACTTTTGTGTCTACCATTTGATGCTTGTCATACTGAACTTGCAAACTACAATCCCTAGTTCTTTTTCACGCTATTATTTAGCATTTCCTCCCCTCTATATTTACACAGTTGAATTTTTAAATTCAAGTATATAAGTTTACATTTATCTCTATTAAATTTCAACTTTTAAAATTCAGGCCATATGCTAACTTGTCAAAGTCTTTTGGGATTCTAACTTTGAAACCAAACATCTTAGCTATAGCTTTCAGCTATATGTGATACTCAAATTTGATAGCCTGACATCCAAGCCATTGATTAAAAATGATGAATAAAACAAAACCAGGGCCAAATGCCTGAAGCCCTCCAATAAGGAGCTCCTCTCAAAATGACATCAATCCACTAATTACCATTCTTTGGATCTGGTCATCCAATCAACTGTGAACTCACTTAACTGTATTATTATCCAGTCCTCATCTCTCCATATTGCCCACAAAGTTGTCTTAACAAACTCTGTCAAATACCTTGCTGACATGCAGGTCTACTTTAACTACAGCATTCCCTTATCTACCAGCCTAGCAACCCTGTCAAAAACAAAAATGAAATTAGCCTGTGACCTCTTCTGATGATCAAATATTAGCTCCTAATGATAACTGTCTCCTTTTTAAATGGTGATAAACCATCCCTCTAATAACATATTTAGAATTTTGCCAGAAAAAAACATCACAGGGTCTATATGAGAAATAAAAAATTTTGCACTTTGCAATTACATTCTCTTCACTCAACCAGTTTCATCATTCTAATACACAGTTAATTTCCTAGTTTTTCTGGGCTCCAATGAACTGCAGTTCTAGATTTAGGGGTGGGTTTTTTGGGTCTGGATGTGATTTATTCCACATAGGCAGCTCCCTAGTGAAAAAATTATCTCTAACAATACAGCCTATTATCTAGTCTTAGAAAGTTTCTGGGGCATGGAGTACTTAAGTGACTTGTCCAGGAAAGGGGGAGTGAGAGAGAGAGGGGGGGGAGGGGTGTATGAGAGGGAGGACTTCAAAGCAGATCCATCTTGACTTAGAGATATGGCTTTCTATCCAATTTCTCCATGATATCCATAGGAGAACGGGCACTTCTACATAACTTAAATGTTGAATGGTGGATACCTTATTTCTGCCCCCTCCATTTTTATGAACTATAATCCTATAAACAATTAAAATATTTACTTATTAATTTTCCAAGTTAGCAGTCAATAAGCATTTATTACTATGTGCCAAGAATTGGGCTGGGGACACAAAGACAAATCACTGTTCCTAAAGTAATGGAGCTCACTTTCAGATGGAGAGATGACATACAAATTAATTATGTACACAATTAAATGGAAGACAATCTCACAGAGTAAGTCCTAGAGCAGCTGGAGAAACTGGGAAGGACACCTAAAGAAGATGGGATTTAATCAGAGGCTAGAATAGCCAGTAAAATGCATGGAGTCAGAAGATGGGAGTGTCCTATGTGAGGAATAGCCAGGAGACCAGTGTCACTGGATTGCAGAGTCCATGAAGGGAAGTAAAGTATAAGAAGACTGAAAAGTTAGAAAGGGGTCAGGTTGTAAAGGGACTAAGAGAGGTTTTTGGTTTAAATATATTTGATCCTAATGATACAAGGGGAACTGCTAGAGACTAATAAGAAGGAAGGTGACATGGTCAAACTTGCACTTAAGGAAAAACATTTTGGAGTTCAGTGGAAAATGAAACTGAATGAGAAAGACTTGAGGCAGGGAGATTGTTAAAAGGCTATTGCAACAGTCTAGGAGAGAGATGATGAAGGCCTGAACCAGCACAGCAACTGTGTGAATGCAGAGAAGAAGATATACACTAGATATGTCATGAATACAGAAAAGATCTGATGACAAATTGCATATGTGGGGTTACTAGGAAAGAGTTTATGAGGATGACCCCAAAATTATATGCCTGGGTGACTGGAAGAACAGTGGTGCCCCTGACAATAATGGAAAAGTGAGGAAGTTGGGAGGATTTAGGTCACAGGGGTGGGGAACCGGCACCCTTGAGGCTACATGTGGCCCTTTAGGTCCTCAAGTGTGGCCCTTTGACTGAGTCCAAACTTGACAGAACAAATCTCCTTAATAAAAGGATTTGTTCTGTAAAACAGAACTTGGACTCAGTCAAAAGGCTGCACCCAAGGCTAGAAGGCCACATGTGGACTAGAGTCTACAAGTTACCTATCTCTGGTTTAGGAGGAAAGCTAATGAGTTATTTTATATATGTTGAATCTGAGATGCTTCCAGGACATCCAGTTCAAGAAGTCCAAAAGGCAACTGGAAGTGAGAGAATCAAGCTTGGTAGAGAGATTAAGGCTAGACACATAGATATGGGAATAATCTGTGTAGAGATGCCAAATAAAGCCTGTGAGAACTGAAAAGTTCACCAAGACAGACAGGATAGAAGGTAAAGAGAAAAGGGGTAAGGAGGAGACTTGGGGATGGCACTCAAGAGGTGTGGCCTGAATAAAAATCTGGCAAAGGAGACTGAGTAAAAACAGTTGGACATATGGGAGAACCAGGAGAGAGCAGTGTCAGAGAAATCCAGAGAGGAAAGAGCATATAGGAAAAATGAGTGATCAATAGTATGAAGAGGGAAACCATTATATCTGCAGAGGTCAAAAAGATGAGGGCTGGGAAAAAGCCATTAAATATGGCAATTAACAAGTAACTAATAACAGAGAACATTTTCAATTTCGTGATAATTGTGGGAATCAAAACATCAAATTGTAATGAGAACTGAATGAATTACAGACTTTATTTTGTGACTCAATTCCAGAGCTAGTTCAGTTCCCTTTCTATTTAATTATGGGTCTAGTCCAATTTCTGGCTTGTTAGAAAACTTTATTCAGTTGTGGGGAATTGTGAGAAAATTTTATTACATTGTTTGAACCCAGCAGTGTGTGGCTGGGAAGCTGGACCACTTCAGCCTGCTGCTTAGAGATCCTTAACTAAGGAGTTGGGTTATGCTGACCAGTTAGATCCAAAGACTGATGCGAAGAGTTTTCTCACAATTATGCATCTCAAGCAACCCTGGCCCTGTACTGGGTAATAAGTTGTTGCTTCCATGTTCCTTTGGTTAAATACAGAACACCTCTTTTTCTGATTTCAGAGAATGGCACCTGTTCACTCTACTCCTAACTTGGAAAGTCTCTAATCTTACCTCCAATTAGAAATCATATTACCTAATTTTGTATCCTATTTAGTTGTTTTCTTTTAATTATTTCTTCTCATTTGATTGTTTTTAATGCAAAAAAATCTGTTTCCCCTTGTATTCAGAGTCCAGCACCAAAGCTGAGGGGGCTGGTCTTGATTTGTTAGGCAACTGGCATGCATTGCTATTTAATAAACTGACATGCTCAGAAGATTGAACTTTGTTTCCTCAGACATTTCATCTTTCACCTACCATATAAGGCCAGCACCCAGACTTCAGTGGGTTTGGAAGCAAGAGTGAGAGAAGAAGAAATGAACCCCCTTATTTTTCCTACTATCTGCCATCCCCATCATTTCTTAATGTTTTCCCTCCATCTTCTATTATCTAGGCTCAATATACCCCAATACATTTTGGCTTTTGGTCTTTCCCTTTCTAACTAAGATCTGCCAGAGTACATTTTTCTAGCAAGGTACTGGAGAACCCAGAGTCATTTCTGAAACTTCAGAAGAGGATTCCAGGTAGAAGATTAGTGATCACTTGCATACAATCCTTCATGATTTACAAAGCGCTTCACAGACATTTTTAAATGTGGTCTCCACAATATCCCTACAACACTAGTAGGGCAAGTATTATCAATGCCATTTTACAGAGGAAGTTGAGA